GAAAAGGAATTAGAATTAGCAGAAGAATTAGAAGCTGAAGCTGAATAAGAGTTAGATGCTGCTAAATAGGCTGAATAAGATGCTGAAACATAGGCTGAAAGAGATGCAAGAGAGGCATAGGAAGCAGCTGAGAAAGCAGCAGCATCATAATAAGCTTTGGAGGATGCATAAACTAAAGAAGAAGAAGCTTGTTTAGATGCTGAGGAAGCATAAAGAAGATTAAAGGAAGCTTAAGAGGCAGCTGAAGAAGCAAGAAAAAGAGCAGAAGAAGCTGAGAGATTAGCTGAAGAAGCTAAAAAGGCAAAAGAATGTGAACCAGTGCCTGAACCAGAATCAGAGGCAGAAGAAGAAGAAGAGGAGGAAGAAGAATTTGAATGGGAATCAGAGGAAGAAGATGGATGTGGTGATGATGTTTTGGAAGATTTAATTGATACATTGATTGATGCAGCTACAGGACCAAGTGCATATTAACCAAGTTGTGGATATCCAGGATGTTAAGAATAACCAATCATTATTATTGTTGAAGATGATGAGGATGAACCTAAACCTGTACCATAACCAGAACCATAACCTGAACCTTAACCAGAACCTGAACCTGAGGAGGAAGAAGTTGTTGTTGAAGAATAACCAGAAGAGGAAATTATTGAAGAACCAACACCAGATGATGAAAAAGTAGAAGAATAAGAAGAAATTGTAGAAGAGATAGTAGAGGAAATAGTTGAAGAAATTGTAGAAGAAATAGTTGAAGAGATTTATGAGGAATTTGTTGAAGAGGATGACGATGATTTTGGTAAATTAGAATTTCCAGATGAACCAGAATTAGAATAACTTGTTTATACTTTAGATGAGAAAACTGACAGTGTTGTTACATAAGAAACATCTCCTTGGGAAAAAGAAGTTGAAGATGGACCTGATAGCAGAATCAAGAAATCAGTTGAATATAGTTATGGTTTATGGACATATTTCAGATACAATGGTAAGGTTAAGATTTCAGAGAAGAAGGAAGTTTTGGCTGTTGGAGGTTTAAGTGGAGATGACACTAATAGATTAGTGACAACAATAGGAGAAGGATTCTATAATTTCTAAGTATTTGAAGGAGAAGTTGTTACTGAATTATAATTAGATTATGGAAAATATTTAGATGCAGAATGGATTTATGTTTATTTCGGATATAAAGAGGGTAAGGCTAATGGTTACATTTATTGGGGTAGAACTTAAGTAATTAAGACTGTTACTTTTACTGTTACATAACCAGCTATTGTTAGAACTATTAAATTCTAATCTGGAATTTGGAAAGGATTCAAAGGATTTAATGGAGTTATCACCAATGTTAGAGTTGTTTTGAACAAGAATTCATTTGTTGAAACAGAGGAAGAGATGAAAACATTGATTGAAACTAAATACACAGTTCCAACAGACCCTGATCTTGAATATAAGGAAGTATAATAATATGACAAAGTTGAATATGATGGAGTTATTACTGATACTAAATATCATTGGGATTTAGATGGATATAGAGAATATTCAGTATCCACTTGGTTCAGATATGTTAGAAGAACAGAAAGAGCCCATTAAATTATATTTAGATTTACATCAAACGAACCAGATTCAGGAGTTGTTGCTCATGGACTCAAAGTACTTTCTTTATGGTAAACTGAAAATAATGAATATGAATTTTCTACATATACAGTAGAGGAAAAAGATTAATTCAGTGATATTGATGAGAAAGTCATTATTCCTTAAGAATCACAATAATTATGGACTTATGCATATTTTGGATATAATCATGGAGATTTCTAATATTATATGGAATGGCCAGATAGCAAGGTTGAAAAATAATTCAAAGGTTGGCATGTTGTAGCCAAATATTGGGCTTTATATTTGGGATAAGGATTAAGGTATTTCTTCCATGGAAAGACAGCTTATACAACAATCAGATTTGGAAAAGGTGCATGGGGAGTTGCTACAGATTTTGATGATTATAAGATTGGTAAGATTAAATTATGGCCAGGAGTATAACTCAAAACATATGATCATAAATGGATGAATCATAAAACAGAATCTGAATATGATACTTTATTACATGAAGAACCAGATTGGGTAACAGATGGTGTTTATGAATATGGATTTGGTATGTGGACTAAATTCTTCATGACAAATCCTTCAAGAATTTATGAGAAACCTGATCGTATTTTAGTGGGTAGATTAGGATTTACAGATTAAGATGAAGCTGAATTTGCAGTATATATTGGAAGAGGAAATTATGAATTCTGGGCTAATTCAGGAAGACCAGTTAATTATGGAAAGAATTTAGATGGATATTGGAATTACATTTATTTCAGTTATTCAAAATTGAAATAAATAGCTGTTGGTTATGTTAATTTCAATAAATTAAAATAAGTATAAAGAACAGTCTTTGATCCATTTGATGCTGATCCTGCTAATAATTATGTTAGATTTTATGTTGGATTATGGAAAACTAGTGTTTATGGATTTAATGGAAGAATAGCTCATGCTGTTGTTAGATTTGGTAGAGGATCATTTATCAATGAAATAGATGAATATGAAACATGGATTGAATAATATAAAGTACCAGTTGATGAAGAATTAGGAACAAAAGATTATGAAATTTAAGGTGCTGATAACAAAGATACTGAAACATATGATACATTTGTTTATGAAGATGGAGCAATTGAAACAGAATAATATTCTGTATATGGATGGTTCAAATATTATGGAAGTTTAGATGATACTGAAGCATAAACAGTTATCAGATTAACAAATAATGAACCAGCATTCTTGAAAGATGCCGATTTATTAGGAGATAGAACATTATCAGTAATTCAAAAAGGTGGAGATATGGAAATTGGAACATATGATATTGGATTTATTGATACTGATTTCAATCTTAATAGAAATACTAATATAGCTTTAGGAGAATATAGAGGTATTTGGATGTATATTTGGGTCGGATATTCAAGATAAGATGAATATGCTGGATGGTTCTTTGGTTTCCCAGATATCAGTAAAGGAGGTTTATTAAAGAAAGTTTTACATTTCTCTCCAAAATATCTTGCTGTATATTTCGGTAAGGATGGAGTTAATAAGAATTTCGTTGGTAAATCTAGACATGTTCATGCTTGTTATGGTAGTACATAATGTTGGCACTATGTTGATAAGGTTGAAGTAGAAGTTGATCTTCCAGCTTGGATCCCATATAAACTTAATAATTACTTTGAATTTTATGTTTAAAATGATGCTGATGCTTTGATTGTTGCTAAAGATGATGATCCAGCATTAGATGTTGAATTCACAGAAACTAATTTCCCAGGTTCTGATATTGAAGCTATTTATGAATATGGTATTGGTTTATGGACAAGATGGTTAATGAATTATCCATTTATATTATTAGAGAAAGCTGAATCTCATTCTATATTTAGATTCACTACCAATGCTCAATATGAAGATGCTTAAAAGAATGGAGACAGAACAGTATCAGCATTTGTTGGAAGAGGAGAGTATAGATTTAGTACTTATGATGCAGTTCTTGATAAGAATGAGATCACAACAGGAACAAAATTTGATAAAGAATTAGAAGGATATTGGAATTTCGTTTATTTCTGTTACAAGAGAATTCCAACAGGACCAAAAGGTATTGGATATGTTTATCTTACACATCAAAATGTTGTTAAGAGAGTTGAAATTGATAGTGCCAAACATTGGTTATTGAGAGATTATGCTAGACTTGTAATTGGAAAGAAAGAATTTGGACATTCAGCATTCTAAGGTAAATTGTTTGATCCAAGAGCATTTTTGGGCAAGAACAGTTATATTGATTCAAGTGAAGATTTACTTAACATTGTTGTTCCTAAATTCAGACCTTATCCACCATACAAAGATAAATAAGATAATGAACCAGTTTAAGTAGAAAAGGCTAAGATGACTTAAAGAGTTTTCAAATCTTATGAAGAGAAGTATAGTGGTGTCTTTGAATACAGTGTTTATGGATTTGCTAAAGGTAATAAATTAAAGAATGTTACTGATTGGACTTCACTTGTTAGAGTCACATAAAATACTCCAGATATTTAAGCTGATAATGATAATGCAGGAGATAGAACTCTTTCAATCTTTATTGATAAAGGTGTCTGGTATTTCAGCACTTATGATTATGGAGATATTGAAACTATAGATGATGATGTTGGTTCAAGTATATATTTATATTTAAATCTTTAGTTGATAAGAAATTTGATATTGGCAAATATTGGGGTAAATGGACATACTTCTACTTTGGATATTCCTTCCATCTTAAATAAGCTTATGCATACATTCGTTAAATTGATTAAACATCCAACTCTTATTTGTTTGAAGAGATCTATCATTTTGTACCAAACTATTTGAGTGTATTCTTTTCTGAGGATGGATATGGCAAATAATTTGATGTATTGATGATTGTCATTTCTTTAGGGTGAAGCCTTTGATTGGTATTTGGGTATCGGCGATGGTGCATTTACTACAAATCCAGAACCAAGAGAGTGGCCAGTTGATCCTGCACCTCCTCCTGATAGAATCTTATCAGCTCTACTCGCCAACCAAGGATTTAACTCAGGCAGAATCATCAAGGGTGGTGGAACATTCTTACAAGTCGAAGGATCTGTCAATTTAATCTAAGAAGATGAAGAATGATATAAAAAATCATAAATTATTATTATTATTTTTAATACATAATAAATAATAAGTAGTCATTATTCTCTAATCATAACTGTATTGTTTGAATAATAAAAGCATATAGAACTAAAGAGAAATGAATTAAAAATGCAAACAAATATCTCATCAATAAAAAAATAATATAATTTAAATAATAATCCTGTATTTGATAGTATATATATTATTAAAATTTAATATCATTATAGATCTTCTATTAATATGTAAGTATGTTATATTTGATTGATATATATTGATTTAAAAATATAAAATTCATTAATAATAAATTATAAAGTATATCACATAATTAAACATTATTTGCATTCATGATTTTCATTCTTCTAAATCTTCTTTGAACAACTTAAACAATACAAACTCTCCTTACAAATATTACTCTTGCAATAACATTAACTTAAATATATGAAAATTTTGAATACTTCAAAGTTTCAATAATTTAGCATTGCAATGGATTTAAAGTTAAACATCCTGGACATTTCTATTTATTCGGTTTTATTTTGCCTATTCTACAAGCATTGTATGGATTATTATCAATGAAGTGTGAGTAATGATCTTCCTTTTTCAAAATAAGAAAGCAGATTCCACAGAAATAGATTTAACCTTTACAATATTAAGATTGACATTTTAAGAAATTGCAACCTTCCTCTTTAAATACTTATATCTTGCATCTAGGACATTTGCCATTAATAGCTTATTGACAACACTTTGATTCATAAGGTTTTCGACAATTTAAACAATAAATTTATTTACATACAGGACATCTAGAATATTCTAATTGAATATATTGATTACTTGCATTTTTACTAACAATAAACTTATTATTACAATCTTCATGTCCACAATCAACAATCATTTCATCTTCATTTAAATTTTCAATACAATTATGTTATAAAGAATATTCTATTAAATCATTATAGATCTCTGTATTTTTGAAAACTTCAACAGAAAATTTTTATTTACATTATGGACATTTGTAATCATCAATTGTTAATTATAATGTTTTTAGTTTATCTTAAATCATCTTAACTAAACATTTCAAACAATAAAAATGTTAACAATTCAAACTAAAATCTGTATCTTCGTAACATATTAAACATTTGTTCATTGAAGTTTTAATAAATTATAGCAAATATTATTAATAATAAATATTTTAATAAATAAATAAAATCATCCACCACAGGTATTAGATATACTTACAATAGAAAAAAAACCTTATCTGTCTTCTTACTCTATTCCCCATGCAATGTTACCTGCAATATTTAAGACAACAATAGCAAAATCAATATAAAATAATATATGACCAATTTTATATTTACTAATATAGTAATATCCTAAGTTTGTGAAAATTAAAACACCTAAAATCTAAAGGATTAAAAATTACACTTACTCCTATTCCATAAAAGAAAAACTAATCACCAATTGGCATTCCAGAATCGCTGACCATGAATGATACAAATACTTATAAACATACAATAAAATAACCAAAATTAGCTGTTGCTCCTGCTGATGCAGCAACTAATCCAAATTATACCATTGTTACAAACATTGTTAAACCAGCTGCCATACCTAAAAATCCTGCTATAAAACCAGTTGCACATCCAGCTCCATATATTTTAAAGAATCTTCTTGTTGGAGTAAAATATCTTTCCTTCAATTTATACCTTACACTATCCTTTAATTATTCTTTGCTTCTATAATATAATAAAGTTAATCCTGTAATAATAATGTTGACTGCAAATAATAAAATCATCATATATAAATTCCATTAATTACATGGATCTAATTTAGGATTTGGATTATTAACATTTTGTTAATAATAAGGTGAGATTTAATAAAGTGTTGTTCTTGAAAGTATGACTGCTTCGTTAACTGCAAAACTTCCAAAAGTAATAAGTATAGGTATTAGAGGTAAAATTTAATGAGATTCGTTTAAAAATTATTTATAAATTAAGGCAGCCTATGCTTCATCTTAAATTGAACCTTTAAAAGCTGTTGTCATAGAAATATGAGAATCAGTATAATCTTCATCTTATTCTTATTCAACAACTTCTTGTCTTTTTGCATATAATAAGCAAATTGGAAGAATGACAATAAAAAACATCATCTAAAGTGTTAAAACTGGTAATAACGGCATGTAACTTGCTAATTCTTCTCCAAATTACATTGAAAGTGGAATAGCTAAGGCATAAATCATTCCAACCTCATAATTTACAACAGGACGTTAAGGATGGTATGGATGTCTTTCATTCTATAATTTTATTACTTCTAGAATGTGATAATTATCTAATTAACTAATTAAGCTCCAAACATAAGACATGCTGTTATATTTCCTGAAGGACCTGAATTGAAATTTAGAATAGCCTCTAAAAATGGCCTTTTGACCACACCACCTAATGTACAAATTTGATAATCTAACCTCCTAAAGCTCCTAAACTTCCAATCCCAATTATTGGAATAATTAGAATATAAACTATGATATTGGATGCACTGGAATAAAGATAATCTTCCCTACAGCATCCATAATCATATGGCTCAAATTTATCAGTTACTTAAAGACATTTTGAGAATGTTCCACAAAAATTTGTCTAGCTTCTACAACCCAGTGTAGATGTGCCTTGAAATAGAGAGTATTAACCTGATCCACATGAATACGAACTCATAAAATCTGAATATAATAATTATAATGATTCATTATAAAACTTAATATATGTTGTAAATTTAGTTGTAAGAATATTACGATTTTGTTTTATTTTATAAATTTAAATCGAAATTAAAATATCTAAGAAGCAGTTTATGTTTGATATAATTTTTATTCATTGTTGATTATATAGAACATACATAATTATTATTTATCATCCTTCATTTTCCCACATAAAATGATAAACTCTTTTAACAAATTATTCACAAATTGGACATACATGAGGTAACAATTATTCAAATTTTTCATGACAAATCTTACATAATGCTGCATCTCCACAAGGAATATAAACAACATTTATTTTTCTTATTTTACATGCTTTACATTTTATTTTATCAGAAATATCAAATACAAATTCATTTCCAGTATAATATTCTGATTATGTCATTTATTATGGAACACTACTTTCTTATTTTTATAAATCTTCTAATTATCTTTCTAATTATAATTTAAAAGGTTATAATCTATTTATTGTACTTTTTAATTTCTATTTTTCTTCTTTTAAACTTTAGATCTCATCTTTTATTTCTTATTGACTACTTTCATATTAACTAACTTATTGATTTAATGCATCAATAAATTCATTTAATTCTTTTTCTTTTTAATCATATAAGATTTTTATTTTTTCTTAATTTTTTAATTCTAATTCTTATTTATATGATTTTATTTTTGAATGATATGAATTTATTTAAGCATTAACTTTCTTTATTTATAATTCAACATCTGATTCTTTCTAAATTAAACTTTTTTTTTTCTCAATCAATTCTTATAATTCTCTTTAATTTCTTTCCAATTAACTTTTATCTTCTTAATTCTTTTATTTCTATATTTCAAGTTTAGCCTTTAATTCTCCTATTAATCTTTATTATTAAATATCTATTTCTTCTTCAAATATATTTTAATTTTATTTTTAATTTTTATTACCTTCATTCTGATCTAATTTTTCACTTAAATATGGTTCAATCTACTTATTAATATTTTCATCCCTTTTAAATTTAAATGTTATGAAATCTGAAAATAAAGCTTTAAAATCCAAAAGATTTATATTCTTTCCAAAAATATCTTTAAAATCCTTACCAATCTAAAGAGTAAAAATTGCTTTTTTATTTGTAGTCATCAAATATGTAGATGTAAATAAATTTTCTTCTTCTATCTTCTTTTAATTTACAAATTCCTATATTAAAAAATATAATATTACTTCCATTTATTTGTCTAAATAATCTTCATATGTATTAAAATTTAACAAATTGACTAGGATATCATTTGGTATCTAATTAATCAAATTATATTTAATATCTGGTTTACTATTTTGTCTTCTCTTCTCTCTCTTTTTCTCCTTCATCAAAAACTTTTATACAATCTAATTCTTCTCATCTTCTTTATAATACTTTATATGTATAATTATAGAAGTACTTTATATTTTCTAAAATATAGATTATATGGAATTCTCTTTATTAAAAAATCAATTAATTATTTATTTTGAGGTTATACCATATAAAAATAGTTTTGGAATGTAAATTGTATATTATTCTAATTTTAATCTATTATAAAAATTATAAAATTAAAAACCTGATATATTTTTCTAGATTTATAATTTCATTAATTCATCTACTTTTTTAAAATCTTTATTAAATTCAAAACCATCTTCTGGTATATATTCATCATTTCCTTTCTTCTTGATTAATCCCTTCTTTATAGCATATTCATAATTTCTTTATTATTAATCAGTATAAGCAACTGGTTTTTACTATTATTAAGTATTATTAATAGGTTTTCCAAGTGGTTAAATTATTGAATACTTATTGGCTGTAGGATCATGTTATTTTTTTAATCCTAATTTCCATTAACATATTTTTTCATGTTTTTCTCTATCTTCTGTTGTCAAAAAACAATGACCTTAATAATACTTGATTAAATTTAGATTATACTTAACAATAATATACAAATCGAGGTTTATCTGCCAATTTGACTTCTTTACATGTATGAAGATGAGACAATAATTTATCAAGACTTTACAATTTATGATTTCTATTAGCAGGACATAAATATTATTCTGTCTTTAATAAGGTTTCTTCTTAAATCATTGGCTGATCTGATTCTTTATCTATTTCAATTTGTTTCATTTTTTTAAGTAAAAATCACTTCAATAATTATTTTAATTAAATTAGTAAATAAATTATATATGAAACTTAAATAAATTCTTAATCTCTATATAATATTATTATAATAATTTTTTGTATATAATTAGATGTTTTATGTACAAATAAGAACTATAAATGTTCCTTATATTGATAATTAATTTTTAAATATTTAATATATAGAAAAAAATCATAAATGATCAAAGAATACGATTATTTGTTTAAATTAGTCATCATTGGTAATTCTGGAGTTGGAAAGAGTTCTTTATTATTGAGATTTGCTGATGATTAATTTAGCGAGTCTTATTTAACAACAATTGGAGTAGATTTCAGATTTAGAACATTGCCTATAGATAATAAGAATGTAAAATTATAAATTTGGGATACTGCAGGATAAGAGAGATTTAGAACGATTACAAGTGCATATTATAAAGTTATATTAACATCAAATTATTATTAGGGAGCAGATGGAATTGTTATGGTATATGATGTTACATAAGGACAATCATTTGATGATATAGATAAATTTTGGTTACATGAAGTTGAATCATATGGAGAAAAGAATGTTTAATTATTAGTAATAGGAAATAAAAATGATTTGGATGAATAGAAATAGTAAGTTTGTTTAATATAATTATAAAAGAGTTGATAGTGCTAAAGCATAAGAATATTGTAAATCACATAATATGCTATTTATGGAATGTAGTGCTAAGACAGCTGATCATGTAAACAATGCATTTCTTGAACTCTCAAGAAAGTTGATGGCTAAGAAAGATGCTTCTCAACCACCTAAATCTACCAATGCTACACCAAGTGGTTCTCAATCATCTTAAGCTAAATCAGGAGGGTATTTCTAATATCTTAAATTTTATTATAGATCATATAATCCCAACACATCACAAACAAAATTAAGTGCCAATACATCAAACTAGAAAAAATAGAAAGATGGAGGATGCTGTTGATTATTCTAATCAAAATATCAAATTTATTCATTATATATGTTTCTTTTATTTTCTGATTTACCTATTTTTAAATTAATAAATGTATTATATATCAATAAGTAAATTAATATATATGATATCAAAATTGTGATATCATTATAAACAAATTTAATTTCAATATATAATTCAAGTTAGTTTAAATTATGTTCAAGCTTTAATTTCTTCTTCATTAACTTCTTCAATAGGTTGATTTGACATTTGTCTTTGAAAAACTATTTATTTGCTTGGTTAAGCTCTTGGAGTTTGAGCTTTAGCTGAACTTTGAGTTTAATTTTTAAGTACAATAGTTGGTCTCATTCTACCAGAATCAGGAGATGATGCATCAGATGATAAATCATAATCTTGAGTTGAATATTTCTTAATTTATTTTGTTCTAGGAGTTGAAGGTTAACTATCAATTAGATTAATATTTTTCTATTTAATTTATTATTGAAATCTTGGACTTTTCATGACAGGAACATTTATGCATACCTTTTCATCTTCAATTACTTCATCCTCTCTTACTTATTGCCTAAGCTTAACAGGAATCTCTGGAAGCTAAATTTTATCTGATTTGCTGTTTTTGAAAAGTTAAGTTTGCCATAATTTGTTCTAAGGGTCTAGTCGCTTCTTTGTCTAAAAGCTAGTTCTAATATCAGCTTATGGACTTTGAACAAAAAATAAGTGCTCTAAGGCTTTTTAAGCAGAGATTCTTAAACTAGGATTAGGATTAAGCATTTAAGAAATTAGATCAACAGCTGAAGAGGGTGCTTTGTACATTTATAGATTATCAAGATTAACATAACATTTTTTGTTATGTTTAAGAATTTCCTAATAGTCTATTCCTGGAAATAAATCTTTCTAAGTAATTCTAAATTATTAAATACAATAGCTTACAATTTATAGAAGATGCAACCAATACTAAACATATCACAGATCTTATCATATTTTAATGTGAGATCTTTAAGATTAGCAATTTCTGGAGCAACATAACCAGGAGTACCACATTTTGGGAATGGGTATTTATCTACATTTGTATTTGTTGCCAAGCCAAAATCGACTATTCTAAGATTTTAAACAGAGCCACATTCTTTAAACATGATATTCTCTGGTTTGAGATCACGATGCATGATATTTAAACTATGCATATGAGCTACTCCTTTGAGTAATTACTATAAAATTTAAACATATTAAAGTACCCACATAATTTGCTTAATCTATTCCCAAGTCAAAGGTTATGTTGTACTTCTACTATTACATAAGTCATGTAAACTTGGTCCCTTTAAATACTCAAGTATGAGATAAAATGTATTGTCTCCTTCATAGACTTCCTCAAGTTTGACGATTTACTCATTGTCTAGGTTAGCCATGATACTAATTTCATTAAATAAAGCAGTCTTAATNATTATAACATTATAAACAAATTTAATTTCAATATATAATTCAAGTTAGTTTAAATTATGTTCAAGCTTTAATTTCTTCTTCATTAACTTCTTCAATAGGTTGATTTGACATTTGTCTTTGAAAAACTATTTATTTGCTTGGTTAAGCTCTTGGAGTTTGAGCTTTAGCTGAACTTTGAGTTTAATTTTTAAGTACAATAGTTGGTCTCATTCTACCAGAATCAGGAGATGATGCATCAGATGATAAATCATAATCTTGAGTTGAATATTTCTTAATTTATTTTGTTCTAGGAGTTGAAGGTTAACTATCAATTAGATTAATATTTTTCTATTTAATTTATTATTGAAATCTTGGACTTTTCATGACAGGAACATTTATGCATACCTTTTCATCTTCAATTACTTCATCCTCTCTTACTTATTGCCTAAGCTTAACAGGAATCTCTGGAAGCTAAATTTTATCTGATTTGCTGTTTTTGAAAAGTTAAGTTTGCCATAATTTGTTCTAAGGGTCTAGTCGCTTCTTTGTCTAAAAGCTAGTTCTAATATCAGCTTATGGACTTTGAACAAAAAATAAGTGCTCTAAGGCTTTTTAAGCAGAGATTCTTAAACTAGGATTAGGATTAAGCATTTAAGAAATTAGATCAACAGCTGAAGAGGGTGCTTTGTACATTTATAGATTATCAAGATTAACATAACATTTTTTGTTATGTTTAAGAATTTCCTAATAGTCTATTCCTGGAAATAAATCTTTCTAAGTAATTCTAAATTATTAAATACAATAGCTTACAATTTATAGAAGATGCAACCAATACTAAACATATCACAGATCTTATCATATTTTAATGTGAGATCTTTAAGATTAGCAATTTCTGGAGCAACATAACCAGGAGTACCACATTTTGGGAATGGGTATTTATCTACATTTGTATTTGTTGCCAAGCCAAAATCGACTATTCTAAGATTTTAAACAGAGCCACATTCTTTAAACATGATATTCTCTGGTTTGAGATCACGATGCATGATATTTAAACTATGCATATGAGCTACTCCTTTGAGTAATTACTATAAAATTTAAACATATTAAAGTACCCACATAATTTGCTTAATCTATTCCCAAGTCAAAGGTTATGTTGTACTTCTACTATTACATAAGTCATGTAAACTTGGTCCCTTTAAATACTCAAGTATGAGATAAAATGTATTGTCTCCTTCATAGACTTCCTCAAGTTTGACGATTTACTCATTGTCTAGGTTAGCCATGATACTAATTTCATTAAATAAAGCAGTCTTAATGTTATATGAGTCATTCTTACATCGCCACCATCTTCTCTGAGATATCTTTTGTCAATACATTTGGATGCAAATTCTGCTGAATTGTCCTTTTCTTATACTAAATAGACCTAACATTTTAGTTTAAAAATATACCTTAGATGATCCACCTTTACCCAAAAGTTTTAATGGTTGATAGAATTCACTAACTTCTCGATACATTATTTTGTTTTTGACTATTCTCTTGAATATTTTTAGTTCTTATTCTGGTGCTGTGAAATATTTGACTGTTCCTTTGTATTCGATTCCAAATTAAGTTAAAACTCTCTAGTTATTTTTAACCCAATGTATATTATTCTCTAAATTTATAGGCACAATATATTTTGGAGTAGGTGATTCGATTTCCTATAATTAGATTATAAATCAATAGAATTACAGTTGATAATGTTATAGCATTCGTAAAGATGTAAAGTTGATAATATATGTTTCTAACAAGATGTTCTTTTTAGCAAATTATATGGTAAACTACCTCACCATAGTTAATTTGTATGTTTTACATATTCTTTTTCAAAATTATTTAATTATATGATTTCAAGATTTAAAGTAAACGTATATGAATACGTTCATTATAGCATTAATCACTAAATGAATGACGGACTATTTTTATAAATTATTTAGAATTCAGTTTTAATTAAAGAATTTAGAAATAATTAATTAATTAGAATTCAGTTCTTATAAAAATAATGTAAAAATAACCCAAATTTTATAAGTAATATTCTTCATTAATCAAATAATAGAGAGATTAAAACATATTTGATAATTGAATAAAATAAGTAAATAAAAGTTATAAAGTCATCATTCCATATTATTAATTCACATCAATAGTTAAATATAAAATAAATATTTAAATACTATAAACAACAATTATCTAAAAAATGTTATGAATTCATCACTTTTATGATGATTGTAATATTACAATATATAATATATATTAACATCAATAAAATTATAATTCATAATCCCTGAGTAGCAGGAGCATCATTTGGTTCTAAATCATATCCCTTTTAGTTATCAAAACCTTATACTTAACTTGTTAAACCTTCTTCTTTAACTTTGTATTTTCTATACAAATATGCTAATAAGAATGCTAATAAAATCAGAAGAATTATTAGTCCAATAATTACTCCAATCAATTCTTAAGTGTTATATATCTTTGCCTAAGCTAATACAACCTTAACTTAAAAAGTATTCTTATATGAACATTGAATAGTTTAATATGGTACAGTTGGATTATCTTCTAAATATTTATCTTTTTCAGGACATGAAGTGGCATTCATCAGAATATCATATTTATAAATATTTCCAATATCTTACTCAGATTTAGGATTACAATAAATCATAGGATTTCTTATAATATATGGTAATTCCACAATAGTATGTTATGTTAAACCAAGTAAATATGGATAACTTTTTTAAAATGACCATTAATTAGGAGTTCCATCAGTTTAAAAATCTGATTCAAAAAATTTAACATTTTATAATTTTGGAATGAAAACATAATCTTCATAAAAGGAATTAGCTTTTTCAGTATAATAATCATCTTAAGTATAGAATTTAAATTCAGGTTCAAATTCTTCATAAACTCCAGTTCTTATAATTCTATGTTCATCTTTACCTCTTAAAAGTACAAATTATTTAGAAAGTATAATATCAAAATATTATCCAGTCAAAAAATGTGTTTTAACTTCAAACCAACCTTAATCTTTGAAACCTATTTCAACTAATTATTGATTGATTCCACTAAATATATTATAAATTATAATTACACTTCTTTAAGTATCAATAGAAAATGATCAGGTTAAACTGCAATAGCTAAACCAGATTTAATATCTACAAGACCAAAATTATCATCTCTATTTAATACTATCATCTTTTCACTTGTTTTAACAAGGAATTTTGTAACACCATGAATACTATCTAAAATAAAAGCATATGTATCATTAGATGTGCTAGATTGACTAAATACAATATCAACTAAACTAATAATTAAATCCTTATTATATAAATCAAAGGAATTCATAGATAATTTAAGACTGATATCACCATCTTTATTAATCAAATAAATATCTAATCCATCTCTACCCAATGGAACAAACATATAATTATTCAGTATCTTTATTTATCCAATAAAATTATTGTCATTTTCCAATCCACTACCAATTGAACAATTTTATAAAGTCATATTGGGTTATACTTTACCTTTCAATATTTAATCTCTATATATCAAATATACATATTCAAACATAGGAGCATATACAATTTATGGAATTTCAGCTTCAGTTGCTTCACTTCTTAAGGAATCATAATCATATTCTTATAAAAGTTATGATTTAAATCCAATTATACTTTATGGATCCTATGTAACATTATAATTCAATAAAGTATGATCACTTGTTGCAATCAATAAACCTTAATTTGTATTCACCATATTAACTAATATAGGTGTACTTAAATAATATGATGGATCATTTGCATGTTCTTCATCAGGATTATGAGTAGCATTATAAATTATACTATGATGATTTTCATATTCAGCAAATTCAATTGAACCTTATTTTGAAAAACATATATCCCAAGGATAACTATTATTTCCTTACAATTCTATATTGATAGCAAACTCAGCATTTTAGAAGTCTGTAATAAATTATCGTGATCCCTGAATAACCTCCTTCACTCCATTCACTTCACTTTCAATTTAGAATGTTTTAGTAGTCAAATTTAATAATTCTTCTCCTATTACTTAAAACACAATGACAAAAATTAATAAAAACATAATAAATATATTGTAATCAAATTTAAATTTTAATTATCAAAGTTCAAAATTTTATATAATCATCTTTTATTCTACTTTAAATATGAAATCTTCTAGAATTCTAATTAATATATAATTCAATTTTATAGAGTCAATTATTCTAAAACTTCAAATAAACTTAATTTTCTATAAATCTAATTAATTAATTCTTCATTTTTAGAGATAATATTAATGAATATGATCATTTAATCAAATTTATAAATATCTAATTTAAATTATTTATTTAATTATATATCTTTATATACAATTTAATATATTTGAATAATTGATAATGAATATAATAATAATAATAATGAATATAAATTTTCTCATTATTCATCATTTGTTAATTGGTACCAAATTAACGACTTCTCATTTTAGGTTAATAAATTTGTAAAATCATTAGTTACAAAGATATTGTTTTCATCTATTTCTTATTCAAAAATTAGTTCTAATTTACCATCTTCTTAAACTTACCAAACCTTTAATTTGTTATTTTGACATTAAGATAATAATGAACCATCATCATTTGCTTATAAAGGATTAACTTCATAATTTGTCTTTTTATTTTCTGGATCCCATTCTGTAGATATTAATTAAAATAATCCTTTTTTATTTCTTTACCAAATTTAGATTTAATCCTTTTAATTTGATGTTATAATCATTTAATTTACTTGATTCCATAATATTGTAGTAAAACTTTGATGAATTTATTAATAAATTATCCAATTCTAATTTTCTTTAATCAAAATTGTTAATTTAGATAATGATTTACATATTAGTTTTTTACCATCTTCTATAAATGTTAAATCATGAACTCTTTCTGGTAACATATTGAAAGAACAATTAAATTCCCAATTTTTATCATTTAAACTCCAAAAATTAATCTTCTAATCTTATGTACTTATTACAAAATCATTAACAATATTAAATACAATTGAATCTAAAGTTGAATGACAATTTATTTATTTGTATATTTTTGTTGATAATTAATAAATTTAAATCTTTGAATTACTACCCCATGCATAAAATTCACCATTTGGACTTATACTAAATAATTCTGCTGGAATTGAATTTTTTAAAGATTCAAATTATCCAAATAAACTATATTAACTTGGTTTAATTATAGTAATTTAATTGTTTATTTCTTATCCAGGTGATACTGCAATAATTTATTAATTCTTAATATCTTAATAAATCCTCTTTATACTTTATTTTGAAGATCTGATACTTATTTCATGTTACCTTAAAAATTGCATATTTTTCATTTTAACAAAATCCACTTAATTTTTTAATACATGATATTCATTTTTTCCATTTTTATGATCATCTTATGTAAGGGAATGAATACAATTTAAAGTAGTTTCACATTTAGTTAATTATCTATAAAATTCTTAAGTTAATGAAGCTGTAACTCCTATTTTTGAACTTATACAATCTAATTATTATGTTTATAATATCTCATATGCTAATTGATTTATATTTTCATTTTCAAGATTTTCTAAAATAAACTTGATTTTTTAATTTATTTGATTTTATTATTCACAATTCTTTTCCAAATTTTGAATTACTCTATCACAATAAATTTCAATTGTTTTATTTACATCTTCTCTAAAACTATTTAATTTCTGCTTTTATTACTACTTAAATTCATCTGATATTGTTTATGATAAAATTTAATTTAATAGAGTGATTATTTCAGCCTAACTTAATGGTTCATTATCTTAATTACATTCCTTTTATTCACAACATAAATAACAATTTCCATTTCTATATTCAAATTGTTCATATTTCAAACAATGACTTTTGCAATAAGAATTTCTTCCTTTATCATCTAATTATATATAGGAAAGGGGTTTTGAAGACAAACTTAATTTTTTTTTCATTATTATTTTTACTTCTAAACCTTATATAGTATTTTCTAAATACTAAATATGTGGTTATATTATTTGGAAAAAAGCCTTTTTAAAAATTGTACATTATTATTTATTATTATATACAATAAAATATATTAAATTATAACTATCTTTTATTAAACTTTTTATATTTTTAATTAAGGATGATTTTATATTGAATTCTAGAAATATATATATAGATTTATTCAATTGATAAATGTAACAACACTTTAATAAATATAATACTATCATTTATTTAATTGTAGTAACATGAGAGATTCACATTATTCTTATTAATCTAATTTAAATTATAAATCAATTATATAAATATACTCTGATTTACTTGTTTATATTTAGAATTTGATGTTATAATAGGAAATAAATGAATAATAAAAAATAATAATTATCCTTATATTTTAATTATTATTCATTAGTTTAATCTATTCTACAACAATTATTAAATTACAGACTCAAAACTTGGAGATGTAATTTATGTTCCCAATTAATATAATGGGTTCATTAAGATTTTTATTAATTATTCATGAGCTAATTAACAAAATATTTTCACACGTTCTTCATCTTGATCAGTCAATACTAAAAATCTTATATTCGATGGTGTAACATAGCCATATACTCTATAGTCTTATTTTTAATCAATCTCTTTAAGAAATCTTTTTAATTATTATTGTATACAATTCTTTAGATGATTTATATTTTTCATCAAATACATCTAAGGCAGCATGTAAAATAAATTATGCATTTAGTACTTACTAACTACCTAAAGTAGTTTTTTTTAAGGGAAATCTTCTTTCATAAAGGGGATGATCCTCCTAAGATAAAATTAAGAACATTTTCTCTTGATATTTAAATATATATAAAATTTATAAAAAATTAAAACTAGGAATACAAAGACTATTATTTTATTAGTTATTTTTGTAAGATGAATTTGTAAACTATTTTGTAATATCAATCAATTGTATAAAATAGAAATATATATTTTTAAAATGATTTTGATGTAAAATGGAAGAAATATAAATAATTTTAGCTGTTTTATTTAAATTAAACAATTAGAATCAATAAATTTTAAAACATTTTGGAGAATAAACAATTCTATTTAAATGATATCTTTTTTATATTGATTAATCAAATAAGAATTTCTTGCTTTTATAATCTAAAAGATTTTAATAAATTAAAGAAACTAAAATAATCTATTTAAGAATATATTTTGATCGAGCTAAAATCAACGGAAGAGAATTATAAAGAGAAAAAATATAAGTATAAATAAAATAAGAAAAATTCATATTTAATAAACATCATTTACTTTTCATATTACTTTTATTAAATTGTATATATAATTTAAAATTGAATAAAATCAGAATAATTATTATTTGAATTATTTGGAGTAATCATTATGAGACATACTTTTCATATTCTTACCTTATTGTAATAATTTATACTCTAGAAAAATTAGATATATTTTAATAAAGAAATTTTGAAATAAAAATATTCATAATTAATGGTAAAAGTTGTTAATAAATCATAAAAAATCATCATCTATTATAATTTTGTTTTCATTTTGATTATCCTCATTATTAAACAATTCTCTTTTTATACTTTAACATAAACTCATAAACATATTTTTAGTAGCCATAAATATTTATTCATCATCAGTATCAACATCATGATCTTATTTAATATCTTTTAATTTGCATTATTTCATAGTATCTTTAATACATCTAAAAGCATAGATCTAATCGCCTTTTTTATATTTTATTAATTATCCACTTATAATCTTTTTGCCATCTTTAAAATTAGCATTTCTCATTTTCATTGAAATCGACTTTTTGTGCCAAACATCCTTAGAAATGGTCTTTTAAGTAATTTAAACTTATTGCTTAGGTTAAGGTTTAGTGATTTTTGAGGCTTCATTTAATTTATTTATCAAATTCACTTTAGGTAGATCCTTTTAAACAGGCATATTTTCCTTTTACTATGAATAGAACTTAGGTTTAAGTCTAATAGGTTACTGAGAGCTTTGTGATAGGGTCATTAATCTTTTTTGGAACAGGAACATTATTTAATCGTTAAATATTATTGTTTAACTTCATTAATTAATAAAAAAAATCAAGTTTAAATTTTACTTTTTGAATTTCTATATCATTGTTGAGCTCTAGAAGCATGAATTTACTATTGTTATTCAAGTTTTTATTTTTATTCTTATTCTTATTGTTTTTTCAATATGTGCTATCCAACAATAATTATAAATTAACCAGGCAATAGAAATACATAACCAAAACAAGCAATAGCAGATGGATAATATTGAACAGTAGCAATATCACATAATATAGCTGTAATAACAGGTTCAAATAAGGCAGCAGTAGCAGGTACAATTGGTTCAAATAACTTACTAATTAATATAGAAGAGATAAAAACTCCAATACTTAACATAGTAGACATGTAACTAATAAAATAAGAATTAATAATTATACAAGAATCCCATAAATTTTCCATTTTAAAATAATCCAAACCAACCCCATCTGGAATCAAAATTTATAGATGTACCATCCATGAAAAATGAGACCATACACATATTTAGACAAACAAAAAAGGCAACACAAAAATTAGCAAGGAATGGAGGAAATACACTTCTGAGATCTTAATTAGCCTTTGATAATTCAGCTAAGATTATTGAAGCTAAAAACTATTATTAAGATTTAAATATTACTGGTATAGTATTTCCAATAATAATTCTCATCCAAATTGGTCTATTATACAATAAAGGATTAATGTAATTTTTAGCTGATTCAGGAATAGTATCAGTATTTAACATGTAAGAATCTAAACAAATAAGTAAATATCTATTAATAAATGATCATTTTACCCAGCAACACACATTATTTTACCACCTCCTTCAATATTATGGTTATTTTCTTTTTTTCGAAAGACTGATAACCAGAAATTAGTCTAAGAACCTAAAACAAAGACACTTGAAATATTGGTATAATCAAAACAAAAAAGAAATACTGCAAAAGTTACCGTTGTAGTCAAACTTGCCATATAAACCTTTCTCATATGAGTCCATCTCAACAAAAATTCCATTGTGTAAGCTGACTTAACCTTTTCGTTTCCTGTCCTATATTCATACATAATAAATGGAATAAGGAATATCCCTTACAATAAAAATCTCCAAGCAATACGTAAGTACTTGATATATATTATTAGTTACTTTTTCAGCTGGTATTGTCATAATCCATGGTGGCATCATGGCATTATTGAAAGATGCATAAAAAATAATACCCCAAGCCAAATACTAAGGAATTTTCTCATAAAGTTAATGATCATCTTCTTCATCATCTGCCAACTTGTTCAGTCCTACTATCTATGTTAATCGAGTGTTCAAAGTCAGTCTCTTGATTTACTTATTATTCTTCTATTTCTTATCATCAAATCCAAATGTTTCTTCAAATAAGAATCCACCCATTCCACTTCCAACAACAAAGCTCTTGACATTATCTTATTTCTATTATTAATCTTAAACTTCCTCATCACTCATTTCCTTCTGTTCATCTGGAATAAATTACTCATTTTCATCAGCTTCACGTTCCCTCTATTTACTTAATTCAATTATACATCTTTAGCTTTATCCAAAAGATTTTGGGCTAAGTCCATGTTTTCTTAAGAATGCCTTTCTTCCTTAATTGTTTATAAATGTTAAAGAGACATTAAATAATTAATTACATTTGAAAACAATATTTGAATCAAATCAATCCCCTATATGATGAATGTTTAGATCATGTAAATCATATTTCCATAACTTTTTATATTTACAGAATGAAAATAATAATCTCAAATAAATTATTCTAATCTTTACTCAAATTTTTGAAAGAATATTATATAATATCGTTATTTTTGCACTTTAGAGTATTATATAAAAAATAGATATGCTTTTAAAAATGTATATATTCATTATTTATATCCACATAATACTTATGAAGATTACCATATCGAATTGGATTTTTGATTGTTTATTATGGAAATATTTAATTCTTTTCATTAACATAAATTCAGTTTGTTTTACCTATGATTTATCTTAAGATTATTAAAAAAATTAATCAAAATATCATCAATATCCAGGATTCATTTCATATCTTATAAGCTTTAATTAGATATCAATTTTGTCTACCTATCAAATATTATCAAAATTTATATCTCTTATCTCAATCTTTAAAATATTAAATCTATATTTTTTATGTAACTCTATTTCTTTATAATTCTTTATTTTTCTAAGTCAATTAATAACATTATGTCATCAATTAAATATTTTCTACATTTAATTATTTATTTTTATCAGCTTCTAATTTTTCAATTGTAATGAACAATTAATAATTCATATATCAATTATTTTTGACATAAACAAAAATTCATTTAATTTCTCTTTGAATGAATAAGAAATCTATTGTTCTGAACTTCAATCTTTTTTTTAAATATCTAAATTTCATAAAATAAAATCAAATTATGAATCTAATAAGAACTTTACTTTATTCATTTGAATAATAAAAGGTATATACTTTTTCATTATTATAAGACTCTACTATAATTAAAATCTAATCAAGTATAATTAATTTTTTTCCAATTAAGCAATAAAATATACAAAATTTGTATTGAATTTGATTTTTTCATATACTTAAGTACCCTTAGGCAACTGGAATGATTCTATAAAATGCTATCAAAATTTAATAAAAATTTAGAAATGAATTTTTTTCTATAAAAAATACCAGTCTCAATTAAATTATTTGTAGACTCAAAGAAGCTTATTTTAGGACTCACTATCAATAATTGTAATATCATTTTTATTTTAGAAAGAAAAATTATAGAAAAAAAGATTTTTAAATTTTGTGAAGGAAAAATCAATTCAGTGCTACTAAATTGCTTAGAAGCATATTAATGAATTAACAAATTTCAATATAAAGTTAAGAATCTAATTACATATTGATTGATATTTTATTTTTTAAGAGATAGGTTTAATGTAGTCCTTGAAAAATTTTGATAAAAATTTAAACTATTTGAGGCCTAATTTCCGGTAGGGAATTGGGATTATAAATGAAATGTCTATCAAAAATGTATATGATGTGAGAATTAAAAAAATATTATTAATGATTAATAATTATTCACATGAAGATAGAATACATGTAAACTAATTCGTCGTATCATTCTTAATAGCCTAGTTATAATGAATTAAATTAATTAATAATTTATTTTTGAATTACCAAAATTTCATTCAGATGAATCCAGATCTAATGTGCAATTTATACTCCTAAGGCTAATATTACAATCCATTCTATTACTTACAACAATAATAGATGCTATAATATAGTAATTTTTATCCATTCTATGTCATAAAGTGATGTTTTAATAGTTGACCCCTACCATATCGATGCCCTCATATAAGTATGAAACACAGTTCATTTTGAATAATGGAACAACACACCAATAAATTGAATCACCAAATATCACAAATACTGCCCAAAATACTCATTCAACTGAAGTTGACTATGAACTAGAAGACAAGTGTGGATTGGTTGATGACGAGTCTCAATCAAGAGTAAATGGTATGTATTATTCTTAAGTATAGGACATTGGACTAAATAAGAACATTTATTATATCTAGAATTCGTTAAGAGTCATGAGTCTATTTTAAAGTCGAAGTATGATAAAAAGTCAAAAAAAATATTTAAATTAATGAGTCAGTTTATCCCAACAAGAACAGCTACTCAATGTCGATCTCATCATTAGAAATTTAATCCCTTGGCAAAAGGTAAAAAGAAAAATAGATAAATAAACAAACAAATCCCAACTATCATCCATCAATGAAATTGCCATCTTTGATTCTATTAATGTTATTTCAATTTTTTCAATAGAACAAATTTTCTCACTCTGTTGTATCCATTATTAAATAATTTATATAAGTTCAAATACATTAATCAAAAATAATTAGTGATTTACTTTTAATTTGATTTCATTTTATAGTGATTCAAATTTCTATGGATATTAATGTAGTTAAGGTCTCTTTATTATAATTAGTTCTATGTCATAATCTAAAATCAGATTTTTTATTTTCATCATTAATTCAAATTTAAGAACTTTCTGGTAATTCCCTTTCTACACTCTACTATATTATATCTTAATTAGACATAGAGAATCTTATTAGATATTCTAATTTACTAGATTATAAACTAATTTTAACTTTATTTAATGCTTCAAGTGCATATTTTTTCAAATTTATTTTTAATTTCTATAATATTCCTTTTTTTTGAATATTCTTTGAATAAAAGTATGAATATCTCTAATTCATATTTTATATCTATTACTTGTTTTTAATCAACATAGTATAATTCCCATTCTTATATTTAATGATAATTAATATATAATCTATGAATTAAATTAATTTTCTATAAATTAATCTAAATAATCACTAATCGACTATCTTATTCATTTTTAATATCTTAAAAATCAATTTGGAACGAAAAATGTTATTCTCTAAATTTAGTATTTGAAAAAGTTTTTTATTAATTATTCTATGTAGATTAATCAAATGATTTTGATAATATATATCATTAAAGATATCGAAGCATATTTTATTGATTAAATATTATGGATCTTTTAATATACATGAATCGAATAATTTTATAATATTGGAATCAAGATTGAAATGTTAGGTTAGGTTTTTCTACATATTTTTAAATTTAGTCTTAACTGCTAAAACCTTTTCAAAATAGTTTAATTAAGTTTAATTCTCATTATTATTTAAAAAAAAATATAGCTATATTCTATTATATATGAATGTAATTGCATTTTAATAATAAGATTAAAATTTTAAGACCTAGGTTCTAATGCATAATATAAAAAAAATTAATTTTTAATATTTGAAAATAGAATTTTTATTTCTCAATTAGAATTCATTTTAATAAAAAAAAAAAGTTATTTAGGTGAAAAATAATATTTGAATTCATTAGTATTAAGAATTTAATAAGAATAATTTAATTGTTAAATAATAATAATATAATTAACATATTTAAAAATGTAAGAAAAA